TTAATAAGAGAAGTTTTCCCTACAAAGTTTCTGTTTTTAACCCTTTACTGAGTTTCCTGTATCTCTATAGGATTCCTCTATCCAAAGCCAAGTATCAGAAAAAAAAAGCTAAAAAGCTAAAAGTCAATTACATTGTGCTATTCTTCCAAAAACATACACATTTTAGAAAAGAAGTTGAGAGAAGTTAAAAGAAATATATAGTGCTTAACCCAAAGGAATTGATTTTTACTAGTGAAATTTCACATTTTATGACATTTGGGCCAAGAACTATTTTTGGGCAATGAGTGACTTTTACTCTGCAGTTACATATAGGCCAAATTATGGATGGTAACTCTGTACAGCTCTTTTTTCCAGGAATACTCCTATATGTTAAAAGTATTTGAGAAAACAATTTTATGAATGAAAAAAAGACATATAAATTTGAAATGCTACAATTTGTAATAGTATATAGGCTTTCTCCACTATTAATAAAAGTTTCATGTCTCATATGTAATTAAACTTTATGAAGTGGTGCTAAAACACGGTTAAAATCTGGTCATGAGGAAATAAGAGATCCCAGGTACTAGGAGAGAAAACCCATGGTGGTCCCAGTGAGGGGAGGTGAGCCAGGCTGACCACAAAAGAAATCATGTTTTTCCATGAAACTGGAAATCTTTGAGTAGTGGGTTGGGAGAAAAAGGTTTTACCTAGGGCATAAAGCAGATCTAAGTACACCTAAACTTTTCCAGTGTATTCTTGACAGACCAGCTTTTACTTTAGTTCATTATTGTACTAACTCATTACGTCATGTAAGTTCACTTGTTTGTAAGCATTTATGGAATACCTACTTTACACAGGCATCTGCCTCAATTTTTGGAGGAGATGGGGATATGAAGATGAGTAAAAATGTTAATGTCCTGGGAAATCTGTGACAGCGGACTGATTAGGTAGGATATGTATATTCAAAACAATTGTAACACCTAGATGATTAAGATTCCTATTAAAAGTATGGATTAAGTACTATGAAAAAAATGGAAAAGGATATAAAGGAACAATTGGTAGAAACTAATTAAAGCTTCATTATAGGAATAATGTTTGGGCTGGACTTTAGGGAGTAAGAAAAGTGTGGCCATGTGTAAAAGGGTAGGGTTATGTTCTAAGAAGTCATAACATGTACAAAGATGTATGGTAAGGACTATAGAAGAAAACTATAACATGATCTAAATTTTGTGCTAGAAAGATTAATTCTGCTGGAAGTTAAGAGGATAACCTCTCAGGATAAACCTGAGAGAACCAACTGTGGGCAAACTAGCTTTATGATTATTATGATAGACTAGATGAGGAATGATCAGGACCTGAGAAAGGCAATAAATTACTGAGAATGGGTGTAGGCAGTCAGGAGATGTTTAGGCAACAGACAACAGAATTTGGCACCAAAGTAAACATGAAAGGTGAAAAAGAATAAGGCAACAGGAACAGAGTTTAAATTGCTGAAGTTCGTGAAATGAATGAAGACAGAAAAAACGGGGAATGGAGAAGACTTTACTTTCAAGAGAGGGAAAAGTACAGCATTTGGGCACATGACATTGGAAGAAAGATGAGTAAAGATTTGGAGGTCATTTGGGTAATAGTAGTGACTAAGCCTATGAAAATGGATGACTTTTCCTGGAAATTATGTAGAGGCAATCTGTAGAGCAATTAGTATTTAGGGATAGTTGGCAACCATAATACCTGAAAGAAATGGAGAAGAAATAAAGAAGTAGTACAAGGAAAAGAATCTCAGAAAAATCTCTAAGAAGGAATGGTGAAGAGTATTAAATGATAAAATACAAATAGAATATATATTATAAAAGTTGAACGCATTTGTCATTGTATACTTACTAACCTTAGTAAGTCATAAAATAGTTTTTCTGTGATTATATGGTTATGTCTAAGCATCTTTATAATTCCCAGACCTCAGAATATAAGCTTTTAATCTCCCTCCCCATTTTCAAAACTATATTCATAAAGTACTCATTGGTAAAGTGTATCATATAAAATTTTAGGACATGTCTCTTATGCTCAATGGAGGAAAGGCATATAAACAAAACAAATATTTGTCAACATATAAATAACATAGTACAATAACTATCTTTGGGCATAGAGACAGCCTATAAGGTTCAACAAAGTGAACATTCTATTGACTGGAAAGGCTTCTCATATACATGTTTTTACAAACTAAAACACGCAGATAACACACAAAAAAGACTGCTTTCACTTTCTAGGAAGATGAAGACTAGAGAAAATGCAATTGAATGGTTCCTGCTATACTAATAAATACCGTGATACTAATAAAACAGTTGATGCAAAGCTTATAATAATAACTGACACTTCATTAGGCATTTACATCTTATTAAATTTATTCTTCACAAGAAGCCTGTCTCTGAAGTCAGTACTACTGGCTCAGTTTATCTGAGGAACTTTTCCTCATAGATGATAAGCAATTTGCCCCAAATGTCACAGAAAATAAGGAGGGACTCAGGCATTCAAACCAAAACTTTCTTCCTTGATTACACAGCCCATTTTCTGTCCTCTATGCTGCACTGACTCTCAGTGGGACAGGCCAAAAGGCTCCAAGTAGGGGGATGGAAGCATGCAAAGTCTTGAAAAGGCAGAGTCCTTCTGAAGAATGAGGTGGTGCAGTGTGGAGAGAGATGACAAGAGGCTATGTAACATACATTGTTCTTTTGCATGTATTATTTCATATTATTCTCATAAAACATTAGACAAGAGTATCTTTGTCCACATAAGTGCGAGGTTTTAAAATAAAATGTCCAAGTTCACACCTACACCTTGTGAATCCAAAGCCTGAGCTTTTCAACCATTATGATGGAAGCATGTTTCTTTATTTTTACCATGATCATATATAAGTTGTAAAACAAAAATGTGCTAAAAAACGGACCATTGATATAGTAGTTAGAAAATTAGTGGTGATTTTGAAATGAACAATTTCAGCATAAGAACCAGCCATAGTAAAATAAGTAGCAGAACAATGAATGGGAATTGAGTTAGTAATGGTGTCTAAAAATCAGTTATTCAAGAAATTTGGCTGCAAAAGGAAAAAGGTAAGTCAGATCTCTTTAGTTTTAATTTTAAAATGCCTGGAATACTGATATATTTTCAAAAGACTTTCCAAAATGTTCATTAATAACAGTAATTTCAGATTGTAGAGAGAAAAGTAATATCATCTACAAAGTCTTATTAGTTGGTTTCTTTTCAGAGGATAACCTTCATTTTAAACCAAATAAAACAGACTGATGGCCCCCTTAACTGCAAAGAAGATACACTACCTGAATTATGGCAATTCAAAATGAAATATAATGAATTCAACTCTAAAAGGATCCTGCTTATATTTCATCTAAGTTTGTTGGCAATCATAAGAAGAGATTAACATTTCAATTTAACACTTAACTCTTGTAAATAACATAGCTGTTGTTTAACAAATCTGATTAATAGATCAGAGACATTCCTTTAAAAAGTTTTCATTGGTCTAGGATCCAATGTGCAAAAAAAGAATGATATACAAAGTTTGTCCAGTTGTTAAAATACTCAATTTAAAGCATTATCTGAGGTGATATTCATTCTACTTTTTGGTATACAAAGGTTCTTTGTTTTTACAAAATGATAGTAATAATTGATGAGATATAAAATTTAAAAAATAAAAAGTAGAAAAAATCTATTTTTGAAAACCAAATTGGCATCTGAGAACTACTGTTTTAAAGAATTTTAGTCACATATTGAAATTAAAGGATTGCATGTAAATCATGTAAATAAAACTTTGCAATTACTTGTAGACCTTTAGCAAATAGAGCTAAATCAGGTCCTGATTGTCAAGAGTTACTGATTGTGATTACAACGAAATGCAATACATTTATATACATCATGGCTCTTGGACTGTTAATGTACAGTGTGAATAGCTACATAGTTTAGGGCTAAATATTAACCTTATCATTAAACCTAAAAATGTATAATTTTTTTATATAATATTTATATAGAGCAAGAGTTTGGACATACATTGGTAGTAGATATTAACATACATAATCTGTAAACTGTTTTAAAATGGTTTTGACTAGAGTTTCACCTGACTTTGGGCTATTAACTAAAATATAATTTCAGAGATGTTGTGGAAGTGGTTGAGAAGATTTATTTTCAAATGAGAAGCAGCAGGAAGTAAGAAACATTGAAGTGAGCACTTCTTCATACTATAAAACTGGAAAAAAAAGATTATGGAAAAAGGTATGTATTAAAAATTTAAGGTGATTTTGTGAATGCTTTAGGGCTATTAACAATGTATAAAGAAGGTCAGAGTAACAAGTTCTATTATATTAAAATTTCCTCAGAAAATTCCACTACAGTGTTCAAGTTCCATCAATTAACAAGTGACGTCTTTGCCTGGTAGGTTGTTAACATTCTGCTAGCTGGAATAAAGAATGACTGATTATGCAGCTTTATTTAAATTTTAATAAAAATGCAAAGATCATTCAAAATAAACAAATATAATTATGCATTTCTAAAAGCTGTATTGAATACTTCAGAGGAACAACACATGAAAATTAATTTCACTGCACCGAATTCTATGCATTTAGAGACCTCAGATTGGAAGGTCATACTTGACTCCAGCAGGATTATCATGAAGCTGAATGAATACAGGTGGTAACTTGACTGCCTCTTCCTCTTGCAAATAAGTTTGCCTATTAATAGGGGTGTGTGGAAAGATTTAAATAGTATGCCCTCCACAAACTGATGAAGATCAGTTATTAAATAAAGTCTGTCCTAAATAATAATTCTTCCCAGGAAAATGAGTTTTGATCCCAAACATGGATTATGATTTGTAATCTAAAAAAGCTCACTTGGTTTAATATGCCTTTGTATTCAACCATTAGCAGTGTGTAAGTGATACCACATATACAATGTTTAGCTCTCAAAAGAGAGTTTGTATTTTGTCTTGTGTTTTTAAAATAATCCAAGATCATCTTACTTACTTCTGAGCTTTCTCATTGGCCACCTGCGAGGCTTCCACTGCACGCTGCAGCTGTAACTCCATGTTTGCTTGCTCTGTCAGAGTTTGCTGCAGTTGGGCAGCCAGTTCCTCGTTCTGTTGTTGAGTAATGGAAACAATGCTCTCTCTGTTTTTCAAAGCTTCTTCGTAGGTACTAAGGGTATGGTTAAACTGATCCTTCAGATTTTCTTCTTGAGATAAAGATTTGTGTAAACTGAGAAAATATCAAAATAATTTAAATATAAATAAGGCAGGCTGACGGATCAATGGTCCATTTAATAAAAATTTCCATTTAGAAATTTCCACTTCTAAAAATCAATACAGATGCTTAGATGGGTAAATGAAAATAGTATTTCTATCACAATATTATAATTGATAATTATTTCATATCTCAGTTTGTAGGCTTAAAGCTATCCAGACAAATGATTATCTATGCTACCAAAGCACACAGAAAGATACTGCAAAATGTTAATCTAATTATATCAGTGTAAATATTACATTCAATTTTCTTTAAAGGAATAGCAGAGAATTGGAAAATAGAGTATCTCTAGGTAAATAAAACAATATAATAAGCCAACTGCAAAGAAGTGTGAGAATGGGCATCAGTTTAGGAGATCTAGGGTCTATTCTGCTAAGCATTTAATGAGAATGAATGAGGTTTGTGCAAATACCGACCAGTCTTACACTCAGAATTTTCCACTTGTCACAGTTGGGATATAAATGAAGTTAAAATCACTAGTCAGGTTGCACAGAAATAATATGTATTCAGATATATATATTTTATGGTTAATGAATCTTATTCCAAATACATCCACTTATTAAGTCATACAGAGAAATAGCATATAAATTAAGACTAAATGAATGCAGAAGAAAATGCAGATAAGTAGAATCCTAAAATGCTAAAGGTCAAATCTTTGATATGTCATTACACCTACCACCTGAGGTTATTTCAAAATGGCATCAAGCACCTCACTCAATTAAATAAAGACATTTTGAAAATATAAATATTTAATAAGGGAAATTTAAAATCCACATAGGAAATGTTCTTTTTTTATTAAATAAAATCATTTCAGTATATGCATACAAAGGAAATGGGGACTGAAGACTTAAAGTACAACAACCTAACTATATGATACAGATTGGTCATGTGAAAGAAAGCAGTATAATTCTTACAGATGCAAAAAGCTAGTCAGAAAACTTTAGATGGGCCTAATACTTGGTCTGTTACTTTATTTAAAACTGCTCATATTATAAATTTTTCTTTTAAAGTCACCTATAAGCCTTTCACAGTGTTTTTACTTTGCAGTAGGTGTCACAAAGCAATAAAATGTACATGAAACAAGTGCAGTTGACAAATCAAAGAAAATCATTTCAAAATTCAATTCAATCCCTAAGCAAAGAGATTGTTGCTAAACTCTGGTGAGTTGCCTACTATATTTAAAATTAGAGTGATATGTAGATGGACAAGTGACTGGACCCTTTGCTCTTCAGCTCTTAAAAAGCTACTCATTGTTCAGAATGCCTTGGGAACCTTTATATTCCATGAAGATTTTCTCAAACAGGAGCAGGAGCCGAAGTGAACTTTTTAAAAACAAAGTAGACAATGTTACTTAACATCCTGCAATAGCACCTCACTGCACTAAAAAAAAAAAAAAAAAAAAAAAAA